TGTAGGGGGACCATTTTGTTGAATATTTTTAACTGCACAGGCCGCAGGCCATGGAAACTGCACCGTATAGGGCGATCATGTTCTCGAGTTTTATCGACGACAAAGATAATGTGTAGTAAGAAATGTGGTTGTATAACAAAGACAAATATTACTACTAGTCATATTGGTTTCGATTAGCAGTGGTATTCAGTTGTATTTGTTTTATGGTCATCCAGTTGCTAAATATCTTAAAGTGGCATCTGGAAATTTGTAAATGAAAACCCCTAATCCCCCTTCTTCTAAAAAAAAAGTCCTCACATCAAAAAGCTATTCTCCCTACCTCAATTGCTTCTTCTTCTTCTAAAAAAAAATCCCAAACTTAACTTCACACTCTCATCTTGTGTCGAATTTCTCATGCAGAACAGAAAATGCTGTTGTCGGGCCCCCCTTACAGCGCTACCGGGCCCCCATTTAAGCCCGGGCCCCGGGAATTAGTCCCGGCTACCCCTCCTCTAGTCGGCCCTGATTACAACTCTAGGTGCGTATAGATATAACGGGCCGGACTCGGGTCAACAATGGGCCCAGGTTCGTCAGATTTGTACGATGTCGTATATCTATCGCGCGATGGAAAGCAAACTTCTATCCTATTTGACCCGGCCCGTGATAGGCCTGTTGCTGTTGCACACAGGTCCCACACGCGCACACCACACCGTTAGGTTACTTTTGTAATCAGGGCAGACCACCCTGAAAAGGAGGATAACTCATATAGCAGGGAAATAGGAAAATAAAATGTCCTAGAAAATGTAAAATACCTATGAAAAAATCGATAATAAACTAAAAAAAAATCTGACGAACCTAGGCCCGTTGTTGACCGCGCCCGTTATATCTTAATACACCTTTATCAGTACTCACATTCTCTCCTCCCTCAGCATCACCAATACAGCAGCAGTGTGGCCAATTCAACATCGTCGTTGCTATGTGCTACGGTGGCTTAATTGGTAAACGTATTGAGGAGTAAATTAAGAGATTCATGTTCGATCCCAAGCTTGCTTGGGCACATTTTTCTTTACAGCTTTTTCTATTTGTTTTTTGTTTGTTTTCACCTTAATGCTTCCTTTAGTTTGAAATTAAATTTTTTTAACCGATACTTTCTCCTTTCTTTCTTCATGTTAAATATTTTTTCATCCATTCTGAAATAATTCTTGAATGACTTTCAATTATTTCTTTGACTAAATGATCCGAATAGTTTCGTCGAAGAACCTCTCCTTTAATTTAAATATTTTGGATTTTTCTTCTACTTTAAACTAAAGCTGCAGCCATATTAAAGACTTTCTAGACTGTACCTATGAACTTTTCTCCATCGATATCGTCGAAAAACTTCTTTTGTCAGATATGAACGTGAAGGGTGAAAAGAACTAATTCAATCTTTCCTTAAGAACATAAATGTGCCTTTTAGCAAGCAGGCCACATTGAAGCCTGTAGGGCACACATAAATGTAGATGTTTTAAATGCATGCCTTGAACGTCCTGGCAGCATCCTAATCGTAAATAAAATTGTCTTCTAACTTTAATCAACATCTGAGGCGTGATCGATGTAATCGCAAACGTTATTATTCTGCTTAAATCAGATAAGTCGCATGGTTTAGTTTTGTATACCGTAAATCAGTAAATAGTTATTTTTGTTCACAAAAAATTATACGTCCTATTTTTAAAATAAAACTCACGCTGGTTGAATTGTAAGGTATTAAAACTACCCAAAACACTTTATTTAAAAACAATTGGATGCTCACGAGTTTTGTAGTATAAACAATTTAACTCATTGCAAAATAATCGAAATTGAAAGGTGACAAAATTTGTATGCAACTAACAATACTGTTAAAAAATTAGACCATTTGAGATATTTTTGCTTAATAATTCTTAAAATATAACTAAAGACTAACTTATGGCGAAAATGCGAATTTGGATTTGCTTATGTTTAAAAATTGAAACTATGTAGGTGTAAATTTTGACAGTGAGTCAAAGTCACTCTGCTTTACGGTAGCATATTTTCTCATAAGAATAAGTCTAATAGCGTAATCAGGTAATCGTGCTGGCCATTTTATCGATCCTTGCTCCCCATTCATCGATTTGGAAATATTTTGTCGAGATACTGCCGGACATTGATTTGGAAATGTGTTGGAACTCCATCCTGTTGGAGAAATATCACATTCGCTGGAACGATATTATTTTGCAGTGTTAAATAATTATCTCCTATTAAATTTTCATCACTGGTAAAAAGTTACCAATATGATGGTTTCCAAGTATCCCTGACCAACAATTAACCTTTTCACGGTATTGTGTATGTTCTTCTCATCTCCATTGAGGATTTTCAAACAAACCAGGTGAGACAATTTTGATGATTAGTATGGCTATGAAGTGTAAAAGTACATTTATCAGAAAACACATGTTCTAACATTGTTATCTAATATATCCATAATTTGCTCATAAAAATGCGTTCTTCTATCGCTGGAGAGACAAAGAGGATTAATTCCAATTTAGCTATTGTACAGGAGACACAATTAAAATTTTGGAGTATAGTGAAGTTCATATGCATATTAGTGCATTTAATTTGCCATATTATGAAGGAGAGATACGTCCTTTTGTCACATCATAGATATCCTCTTTAACATATTTGTGGTGGTCTTAATTCAAATTGGACATTCTTCGACTGCCCCTTTAACTTTATAACAACGAATTTATAGGGATGCATTTTAGTTTCTTTTAATATTTGAGTGATCGATATATGGTTGACAACATCTAATATTGCGGCTGCTTGTCGACTGGAAGTATGTGGGTTCTTCTCAAATTCAAGGATTACTCAGTGAATTCGAAGGTTTTTTTTGGCATTATATGTGCAAGCTCTCGAAATTATTTTTTAATTTTACCAATTGTCCCTTGAGATATATGCGTCAAATCGGGAAATTTTTCTTAAAATAAGCGAACAAAAGGATGAAAACCGAAACCGAAAACCCAAAAATTAACAGCTAGCCGTAAACTAGAACAAATTCAAAGAACAGCATGTCTCAACATAACAGGAGCCATGAAAACAACACCGACCGGGGCCATGGAAGTCACTCTTAGTCTCACTCCCCTTGATATTTACACCAAGGAGGTTGCTCTGATGACAATGACGCACCTCCGCACGGTTGGAATATAACCTGATGTAGGATCTGGTGAGGCGAGACGTCACTTTTGTCAGGAGGCGCTCGATACGCTCCCACTGCTTGAAGCAAACATGAACTTCATCTCACCGAGATATATCTTTCATAAGCCATATAAAGTTATAATAGAACAAATAGAAGAGCCGGAAGTGGCAGGTACGATTCATATCTACACCGACGGTTCTAAAACAAAACAAGGCTCAGGATGTGGAATATACTCCAGATTCTTAAACCTAAACATAAAATGGGCTATGAGCAATAGTGCCAGAGAGTAGTTTAAACAGAGCCAACGGGAATTCTCATAGCAGCAAAAGAAATAACCAGAAACAATATAACTGGAAGGAACATGCTCATCTATACAGACAGCAGATAAGTACTGCTCACCCTGAACAGACCAAAAATTTACTCAGGGTTAGTACTAGAATGCCACGAAGCTTTGGCCGAAGTATCGATCAACCGTCTTGCTGAATCACTAGCCAAGAAAGCAGCCAACCAAATACTTTTTGGTCCTGGCCCTTCTATTAACCTGACAAAATCGGTAGTGACAGACCTAATTAAAGAACATTCCCTTGTGAAATTCAAGGAAAGAAGATGCAGAGTTGCCAGGGAGCTCTCAAGTTATCCTGACAACACTGCAGCAAGCAAATACTTGACTATGACTAGACAGAATCTGCGCCTAGTTACAGGCATTCTGACTAGCCAAGTACGGAAGCATCTCCATATCATTGGGCTGTCAGAATGCGCATTCTGCAGAGGGTGCGAACAAGAAAATGATACCAAGATGATACGATTGCTCCACTCTCATTTATTAGAAGATTGTGTTCGGCGAGTATCGGGTAACACCGGCCGATATAAGAGAATCACCTCTTGGCGACGTTGTCTACTACATTAAATCAGTAGACTGGCTCACGAGCTAGGAGGTGCCCATCATCTTATGAGGCTGCACAATGGGCTTAATGAGGCCTAAGTACCGTGGGGGGTATGCCACCCTCCACACGTTACAGAAGCGAATAACTTCAATCTGTGTTCGTGTTTTATCTCCATAACTATTCATTTGTAAAATTTTATTTTATGCATTGCTGATAAATAAACTATGTTTTTAATCTGTAGTTAATACATTCAAATGATACGTACAGCAAATAATATCATAAGGTTACAATTACGCAACAAATTGCTAAGGAGTTTTAAACCAAATTAGGAGTGCCAACTACTGTTGATAACTTTTTTTTTGTTAATACCGTCGAAAAATGCTATTGAAATTGTTTTTCCTTTTTTTCTCATTATCAAGAACGAAACTCTATTAATTGTTTAGGGTAACGAATTTCGCTAATCAGTTGACTAAATTTTTTTTACTGTTAATTTTTACTATAAAATTGAAAATTACAGCATTTTTGAATAGAGAATGAAGAGACCTTTCAAATGAGTTGTCACAAGCCACTACTTCCTATTTACAAATTTAGGGTTGCAATTGTCACTCGAAGGGGTTGAAGGTAAGGGTCAAATTTTCCCGTTGTAATAATATAACATTGACATTTTTCGGGATTTTTGTATAAATATGCACATAATTGCGCTAGTGAATTTATACCATTTGGCTGTTACACAGTTTATGTAAAATTGTACTAAACAATTTACCCCAATTTATTATTAATAACTAATCCCAAAATGAGATAAGCGCACAACGTCAAAATAAAATCATTATTTATTTTTGTGTTGTAAGATTTTGATTTTATTTTGAATAAAATATAAAACTCGCGAATAGTTTAAATTTAATGTTAAATTGTAACAACTAACCCCGGTCTCCACTACAAATAAAACACTCAAAAAGTATTAACAGAATTTATTAATTATATTATTAAAACGTACGATTTTATTTTATTAATAAAAATAAACAAAACATAAGTTACACTTTAAGTATAAAGTTAAGAAGAAAAAATTATAGGCACAAAAAATCTATTTGTAATTCCTAACCTCAATAACTACGGGTTTCGATCCAGAACTGTTGTACCATCTATCTTCGTGGTACTTTTTGGCGGGTTCGGCGCCTCTATTATAATGGCTGCTACTTTTCGAGATTTTCGTTTCTGTAGACTGTATGGTCTCCATGCCTCTTCCGGTAGGCGATGGCACGGTTCTTCTACTAAAATGTTTAGTGGTATTGGTGACGGAAGGATGATGAGGATCTTCGCTTCTCGTTGTCGTGTGATACGTCTCGGAAAAATCGGTACTAGAGGCACTACCTCTACGATGGTACACATGATTGGGCACAGCTGTCACTAGTTTGGTATCTCTGAGCCTTGTCGGAGGCTCGTAGATGTCACCATTGTAGTTTCTTCCGTTCTTATAAGTGTCGTCTTCTTCCAGAGTTTTGAACAATTCGGGAGCACGATCTTTTAGCGACGAGAGAAACACTCTTTTGTTGTCACCCTGTTCACTAATGCCATTTCTAGTGAAGCGGCTAGTGTAGACATCATCGTTTACGTCCTTTTGGCTTCTATTAAGGCTTGAAATTAATCCAGGACTTTTGAGCCCTATCGGTTGGTTCAGTTGTGGATTGCTCGTGTACATACCTCCGTGCACGTTAAGGCTTTTGCTTCTGGACAAATTGGACTTGTAGGTCCTTTGCGGTTTCACTGGTCCTTCTAGCTTCCTAGGCGATGACACCGTATTGATAATAGAAACGTTTATGGTGCTATTCGATTTGTTTCCGAGAGGGCGCGGTGGCGAACTCTGTTTCGATAAATGCCTCGGTAAAGTTTGCGAATTTCTTTCTTCGACGTGGTGTTGACCGTTCACCAGTCTCGACGTCGATTTACTGAATCTGCCCAGCGTGCTTTGGGACCTGCAACATTTATTATTGATTTAACCTACACGTCAATTAAAATGGGTGTCTATTTTTTTTCTAAGACAGTACCCACGTTAATGTTGTTATTAAAACAATCGTATTAGCATTAAAAATAAAGCAAACTTGTCAATATATACTTTCGAATACGTCATTATCGTTGTGGGATGAATTTAACTTTTTTGGAATGGTATGTAGACTACTATAGTAATGAAATAAATTTATGCAAATTGCTGTTTACAAGGATTAAGTTATTTTACTAGTTTAGTAGTTAAGACGTGGTTTATTAAAATATTTTTTTGGAATAGCGAATTAGTGGGTTTTAATTATTTCGGTTGTTTAATAACATTAGTATAACAACGTTAGCAGAGTATATCATAGAAAAAAGCATAAAGAAAGAAGGAAATTTAAAAAGATAAATAATAATTCTTCTGCCTAAGAGGCTCGTGGAATAAAGCCTTTATTAAGGCTCGATTACCATAATAATGCATGCAACAATATCAACCACCGCGAAGACAGTTATTGGAAAAAGTAGAACGATTTCCTAAACAATTTTCATCACAATACAATGCAAAATAATTAGTTAAATGATTTTTTTAAAAAACACTAAATTATCGTGAATAGTTTCTTGGATAGCATTTAAATTAATTTCATAATTTTGTAACTAAACTATTTCATCGACTTATACAATTATACATGCAAATATATTGTCTTGAATTGGTGTCAAAAAATACATAATAAAGCTCTATAGTCTAGAGAAGAAAGGAGTGCAGTAATTTAATTTTCAGAACGTAGTATAGGTTCAAGAGGTAATAAACCATGTCTTTTGACAGATAAGTCAGACTTTATTTATTCATATGTATTTTAATTGATTCGAAATTTTGTATTAGTATGTATTTTAATTTTACAGTTAGGTATATGTGAATGGCGAGGGCATTAAAAAATATTACAAGCACAAATACTTAATGTATTCAATAATATTTGAAAAGTCTTTGTTTTACTTTCTGAGGATGTTAGCCACTAAATGTGAGAACTAATATACTGGAGTATCTAAGCGGACAGTGTATAACATTATTTAAGAAGATACAGTTATTGGAGAAGTCTTACATCCAAAATAGCCCCAGGAAGAAACAATACCTTTAATGAAACTTGGGTAAAGAGTGTAATAATTTAAATGGTACATTCTTTTTTCTTTCGAAATAAAATTCCTACGCTTAAAAAATTACACTCAGAAATAGAAAATATCCCCGCTCTTCCAAATGTATCATATTTTCAACTGCAAAAATATTACGTGAATTAAATTTTCGTTACAAAAAACCTGACGAAACAGCTTTTTAACAGAGAAAGTCGAATTCAGTACGTGGAGACATGATTATTTAAGGAAAATAGCGGACGCAAGGAATCAGCATAAACAGGTATTTTATTTAGATGAAACATGGGTTAATACTGAACATACAGTAACAAAAAATTTGCAAGATACCTCCATCAAAATTAAAAAACAAGCTTTTATGGAAGGGATTTTTGCCAGATAGTTTATTAATGTTCGAGTCAAAGGAAACAAAAGACTACCATGAAGAAATGGATGGCCCTAGGTTTCAGAACATAATGATCATCTTTGTTCAAAAAGTTAAAAAACGAGGAAAAAGAAATTTGCGGGACAAAAATCAAATGTACAGTTGATTTTGCGGTTGAGTATTAAAAAATCACACTTGAAGCAACTTTCATCATTAAATATGTGTCAGAACTAGTGTAAACGATTTATACATTTATGTTTGTGATATTATTATCAAGAAATGTATGTCATGCTGTAAACAGTCATTGCTAGTTTGTGCCCGATACTCGATATTTATGTCGTAAACAAAGTGTCAGATATAAACGCACCTTTTTACATAATCATCTCAAAAATGGTTTGGAGATGCCAAGAAAAACTGAATGAGCTAGGCGAGGAAAATGTAGTTACTCTCATTTGGGTCCCAGGATATAACTGGGTAAATGGTAAGGAGCTTGCAGAGGAAAGATATTCAGCAGTAACACAATATTAGGAGAGATTTAAAAAGAATTGGACAATAGAAGAACCGATAATTGGAACAGCTCTTGGTGTTAGATCAGGCTAAGATGCTTCTGGGTAAATATAACTAAAAAGATCGGAATCCTTTATCAATCTGAGCAAGAACAAGATACGCATTGTATCAGTGATACTTACCGGGCATGGTCTCCATTTACATTCTGATTGAATGTGTAGCATTCCAGAATCTGAGGGCATTATACTTGGGAGCATACTAAATAGAAGAAGTCGATCTACCTAATTGAAGCCACTCCAAATCCTACACTTCTTGAGAAGATAGGATTAGAAGGGTCGTTATAGGCATTGAGCCTATTTCCTCGATGCATTAGCGAAATATCTTTTAGGTCGCAGTACCCATTATAACATAACATAAAAGGATTCTAGTGGTATAGTGATTTATCCAAATTCACATTACCTACCATTTAGGACCATTCACCCGTTCGCTAATCTGTCAAGTAAACCTAGTGTAATCAGCAAATAGTTACTTTCAACTTCACTCAGAGATGAATATAACAACCCTTAGATGGTTATTGTTTTAGAATTGTATGTCTTTAAAAGTATTTGCTTTGGTGGAAGCTATCTGGGAATCTAATAATAAATATAATAAAATAATAATACTCTCCCTAGTGAGTGAATTTCAACTCCTGAAGCCAACTGAGCTTGTGTTAGGAAGGGATGATAATAATTATTATTTGTCTTGGCGCTCCGGGCAACTTAAAAATGACTTTTAGTGGCATTGGACGTACACTTTTTAAAAAAGTACTTAAAAGTTGCTCTCGCTCAACTTATCTCCAAAAGTAACGCTGATAATAAGGTGAATATTAAAAGAAAATTATCAAGATTGCATTTCTTAAGATAGTTTTTTTATACAACAGAAAATATCTACGGTACTCTACAAGACGATCAATGCTCAGATACTTTTTAACCTGAAGTAGTATGGACCAGATTCAACAATTTCTTATTGATTTTGGATCAGTCCAAAATTTAGTGTTCATTTCTCTACAATGCATTTAAAATTGTTCAACTACATTCCATTTTGCTACTATGATGTTCAAGTTTAACATAAACATTTTTGAACTCGTGAAGTTTGTGTATAAATTTTATATTTTCTTCTCCTGTGCTGACATTCCTCTTTCTACAGTCGTAAAATTATGTCAAACCCTCTAGTTCGTTGTAATCCCGTCTTTTCTCATTTTGTGAATATATTGTAACGTTTGTTGTGACCCTTGGCGTTTACACGAATTGCGTACACGTCTCAGTTCACCACAATTTCAGCACCTGATAGTCTTCGTTTTAATTTTTTTGGCAGTATGTTAACCAGTTTGTCGCATTTAGCTTCCACTTCCTCTTATTTTACAGTCCTCACTTTACTGTATCTGCAAGAAGCCTGCGTAGCTGCCTTATGTTTTGTGACTGGCTAAGCGAAGTGTTTTCTGCATTTTATGCCAAACATTTCATCATGTTTTCCGGAGTTGATGGGTAGGCAAATCGCACTAACCTGGCAGTATCTACTTTATATTCTTGATAGGTCTCGTCTCCTCTCTATTTGCGATTATTTAACTGTAATTGGTTTAAATGCTACAAGTGTTCGTGGCAATATCCCATGTTTAGACTCTTTTTAAGTTGTTCAAAACTATCTATCTCTTCCACAGGTATAGTGTGAAGGACATCTAAAGCGTCTTATCAAATGGCTATGGTCAAATTTACTGCCTTTTATCTTTCAGTCCATTCGTTCGCTCTAGCAGCTGTTTCGAACTGTTTAAGATAGTTGATCCATGACATCTTCTCGTGGAAAGTTGAGGCTTTAACACGGACAGCATTTACAATTCCTTCAAATTTCAGCTTTGGTTCCACCTCATGGCACTTTATTTCACCGCCCTTGGCCTGTTCTGTATATTTCACTTCCTCTACTTCTATCTTCTTTTCCATCTCCTTTATTTTCTCCTTAACGGAAGTCACCTTACTTTCCACTTCAGCAAAAATTTAATTTTTTATAGAAAATATATTAGAGGAGACTTTACTTTCCATAGAAAACATTTTAGAAAACATATTTTATCTAAGGAAGAAATATTAGATGAATTTATTTTCCATAGAAGGTATTTTGCTTTCCAAGTCGAAAAAAATTTCTTCTTCAGATTTTGGTTTCTAAATCGGAAAAATGTAAGTTTTTAAAGAAGATATTAGAAGGCAAGTTTGTTTCTAAGGAAGAAACTTTATTGTTCAAGGGAAAAATGTGAGAAGAAACTTCAGTTTTTATGGAAGAAATATCAGAAAAAACCAAGAATGAGATCTTACTTTCTATAAAAAAAATATAGAAAATAGATACGTTTCCGGGACCAAACCTTTACTTTCTAGTGCTTCTTTAAGCCGCTCTGCCACTCCTGCTGTCTTCCCTGTCGTCTCCAGCTCATGATCCACTAGTTTCCGGCTATTCACTTTTAAATTACACATTTTTTTAGCCATTTTTGTTTACTATTTATTTTACTAAATTCCACTTGTGACACCAATCTAACGTTTGTTTATTTTATTTATTATTTATTTACACTAAGTACTAATTTATTTAACATATTTATTTTTATTCGACAACATTTATTTTAAAACTTAACTTAGTACGGCAAAATAATCCAATTATATATAAAATATTATGCTCCAGATAAATCCGTCCTGCTTGAAGAATTTCGATGCTAGTCTAGGAATTTGCGAAATACTTTCTCCACGCGTCGGCCTGCGTGCAAAAAACATTCCAGTCGATTCTCGATCAGTGGTAACGGCAGCGGTAAAGGTCAACAAAGACAGCGTCGGACTGGTTGTACGACAGTATTCCAGTCCTCTTCTATTATTATTCGTACTTAAATACATAATCCTTTTAAAATTAACAATTCAAATTTTGTTAAATATCTATTTCCGCCTATTCATTGTTTAACTCACAAGTAAT